ATAATATATAATATAAAATAGGGGGAAAGAACAATTAAAATTTGAATCTTATTTTAAATGTATTTATTTTCAATTGAATCAAAGGATACATTTATAAAATAAAATAACAATAATGACAAAAATATATATATATATTACATAAGTACACACAATACAAATATATAATAACAATTTTCAGAGAGTATGAATTAAAATCGTAGTTGAAATCATAGAGATGCGTATGGGGTATCCTATAATAATGAAAATACGTTAGGTATATTCCACGGTAAATTAGCTCGTTGTAAATGAGAACGGAACGAATCCCGGTAATTAATACGGCAAGGGCGTGGAGTTATTTCGAGAGAAGAGGTAGCTCCCTATCTCTCATTCTCTCTCTCTCTTTCTCACTCATTCTTTCTTTCTATCTTTCTCACTCCAGTAGGATGCTAGAACTCGTATCCACCTTGATAAACCCTTTCCACTAACTTCCCGCATTCCGTCGGCAAACGTTTCGCGAGTGTGAGACGAGAGAAGTGAGAACGAAGCTTGAAACTGCAAACATATGAACGGATTTGTTCTATCTCTTTCTCTTTCTCTCTCATACAAACAAACACACATATACATATATACATTTTCAGTTTCTCAGTTTAATGTAAACCTTTCTATCAAGGAAATGTAGAGAGTTGGACAAGCGTAATATCGCGAGAATGTGTTGATTCGTGACTTGGTAGGTAAAAAACGCGAATATAACAACATACAACGCGTACTTGAAAATTTGATGGGAAACATATCGGACACATATAGCGTGCTATTGGTATATCATGTACGATAAATTGTATATGAGTGTTTCGTGATATTTCAAAATGAAAAAAGAATAAGGAAAATGAAAGAGAGAGAGAGAGAGAGAGAGAGAGAGAGAGAGAGAGAGAGAGTACCTTTCTATTCGTAGGCCATGTTGAAATCACCAGAGAGTTCGAACAAGAAAAAGAAAGATAACGCCTACGAGTTTAAATGATAAATAGGATCGACGAAAATTTGATTTCTTAGTTGCTTCCGTCTGACATTAATCCGTTTTGAATTATTAAAGGTGTGGATTTAATCCAGTTTATGTTTTATTAGGCACGCATAAACGTACACGGTGTCCCTCCAATAACTATATAATAATTCAGGATCTAATTGTGGTATGGATTTTTTCTTTAATCTTATTTGTTAAAAAATTGATTTCATCGTAAATGTATACCTTGTAGTTTATTAAATAAAAAATTATTAAGGTATTTTGTTTAAAGATGATTAGTTTATTAGATATTTAGAAGTAATGTCAAATGCAATACGCTACTTTTAAACGTGGTTGTATATCTTCTGTTTGGTTAGGTTTAGAAAAATTAGGTTAAAAGAGAAAAATCATTGATTCGTAATGTTTAAGATTTTGTTGTTAAATAAATATTGCAATATTTAAA